ATCAAGATCCACGAGACGCCGGAGGGCGGCACTGTGTCGGCTGCCCCTCAGCAGCCCAGTAATCCCTTCGCTGCAGCCGCTCCGGCATCCAATACATCCGCATCCATTTTTGGAAAGCCCACGCTGAGTGCGGGAAATATATTTGGAAATTCCACAAGCCAAGCCAGCAACACCACCAGCATTTTCGGCGGAACTATGGCTAATGCCAATGCAGGGAATAGCATTTTTGGTGGAGGAGCTGCGGCAACAGCAGCAACAAGTGTCTTTGGACAGCCACAGCAGCAACAGCAGCAACCTGCTGCTCCAGCCTTCCAAGGGGGCAATATATTCGGCCAGGCGCAGGTGCAGGTGCAAGCTCAGGCAGTGAATCCCAATCCGTTCGGTGGCTTCCAACAGCAGCAGCAACCGCAGGCAGCGGGAATCTTTGGCCAAGCCACAAATACCAATATGGGCGGAATGTTTGCTCAGGCAGCTCAACAACAACAACAACAACAGCAGCCGCAGCCACCTCCCTCCGGATTATTTGCTCAAGCAGCAGCATCCGCATTCCCGAATCAACAACAGATGCAGCAACAAATGCAGCAGCAGCAACAGATGCAACAGCAACAAATGCAGCAGCAGCAACAACAAATGCAACAACAGCAACAGCAGCAGCAACAGTTTCAAATGCAACAGCAACAGCAAATGATGCAGCAACAACAAATGTTGCAGCAGCAACAGCAAGCTCAAGCGACTAAGGAAATCCAATTGTCAGTTTACAGTCGAATGGAAGATCTCAACGAACAGGAAATAGAAGCATTCAAGGCGGATCAATTTCTACCATGTGCCTTGCCATTCAAACCACCGCCACGGGATCTTTGCTGAACCAAAAACTTTATGGCAAATTGGCCTATAATGTATATATTTTAACAGGGGCTGATATAAAATAGTTACAACTAAAATACTAATGCATCATCATATTGAGTCGTTCCATGTTAATAGAGTAGACGGCATGGGAGCCGATCAGGTTGCGATCCCGGAAGGCCAGTTGGCAGTCCTTGAGAGTGATTACTGTGCGTTCGGTGGGTTGACTGAAAGAAACATAACTTAAGCACGACGGCATTCTTCATCATGAATTAAATGCTTACACTTCTTCGCAGGCGGAGAGGAAGGTGACATCGTCGTTCTGTCGCCGCATAAAGTTGGCCGTATTTAGTTCCTTGTCCAGTTCCAGCGGCGTATCGTCCACCTTCTGACGGGTGACGGTGTTGCGTAGCGAAGGATCACGGAGTTGCGCACCTACATCGTAGTAAAAGTTTCCCTCGCCGCTGGTCTTGTAGTGCTTTCGCTTCTTGATGATGGCCGATAGCAGATCTTTTAGCAGAACTTGCACGGCCATGGCAACGTACTCGGCGACATTGTCGTCCACGGAGACTAGTCCGATTTCCCAGGCGCCGATCAGAAATCGTCCCATAATGAATCCCGCGTCGGGCAGGAAAAGTTCTTGGGCGCAGTAGCGCTGCGACTGGAGCTGCTGCTGCTGGTCCGATGGTGCCCCGATTGTGGACGGCGGACGGATGATTTGCATATTGTCCTCGGCGACAAACTCCAGGACGTCGCAGAGCTCAAAGTTAAGGCGCTCGGCGAAGGTGCGGGAACTTTTCTTGCGCCGTTTGCTTCGGTTTCCACTACTGCTGCTGGTTTGGACAGCAGGAGGATTCTCCAGCGGAGCGAATGCGTCGATCTTGTTGAGCAGCGCAAGCAGGAACTGATTGTGCAGGTGCAGTTTGTCCGGTGTTAGGATTTTTCGCGACTCCGCATCGAATTCCTCCTTGGACCAACGGCTGCGGAACCAGTTCTTCATATTGGCCCGATAACGCTCCCAGTTGTCGCCCAGAGCCACCACTAGCGCCTCCTTGGTGGCAAGAACTCTGTCGGTAAGCATTTTGGGATTGGCAATATCTATTAAACAGGAATATACAAATGTTTGCAATGAAAACAAATGGATGCAGCTGTTTCGAGTGACCGTACAGGACACTGCTGAAAATACCAGAACCATTTGGTATAAGTAAACCGCTATTTTTGATGGGCTCTTGAAAGGAAACAAATTTAATTTTATTTGTTTACAAATTTTTTATTGTGTATAAGTTACATAATTAAAATATAAAAATAAATAATTCAGCCCACACCATTCACACAATTTAAAGATAGAACTATATAAAAAAATAGAATAGAATACATCTCTTGGTTAATGTTAAATTATATAACTCATAAATGAAAGTACTTAATTTAAATTTAACAAAAATTGTCAATACAATGAGTATTGTATATTAATGCTACACATAGATGATATTAGCATAAGCTAATAATATTGAAGGTAAACATTACACTGAGGAGAACTCTTGGTTCAATAAATATTGTAGCTGATTTAAATATTTTCTTTTAAAGGAAATCTTTTAGCCTAAAGTTAATTAGCGCGATCCCATCGCCACACTGTGCTGTCGTCGCACACGCATACCAAAATGGAACCGTCTTTGGAGAAGGAAGTCTGTCGGATGGTGGAGTTGCTCTTGGGATGAACCAGCTGGCTACATTTTGTCAAATTGGGATCATTACAGTCCAGTTCCCAAACGAAGGTTGTGCCCAGTTGGTTGCCCAAGGCTAGAATCTTTTGCCAGGCGTTGAAGGCGAATCGGACGAACCAGATCTCGCACATCTTATAGTCAAAGTGATGCAGCACCGTGGTGGCCGACTCCTGTGGCTTAATCTCGTGCCATGGGACAGAAAGTTTGCCCGGCTTCCAACACACAATTGAGTTCTCGCAGGATTTCGAAAAGACAAAGTCGCCAAACCACTGAACGCAATCCACATAATTACGGTGTATGTCCCTCGTAGAGAAGTCAGGAAAGTGCTCCTTGATTGTGGGAAACGGACCCGTATTCTTGTTGGGACTAAAACCAGAGCTCAGCTCGATGGCCTCTTTTATATCCGGCTTATCCAGTCGCCAGAGCTTCAATGAATGATCCATTCCACTGGACATGATGCGATCACCGCGCAAATCGAAGTCAACTGACAACACTTCGTCGCGGTGTCCTTCCACGCCGCCGAAAACTGCCACACATACGTCCGACTGAATGTTCCAAAGGCGCAGGGAGTGATCCTTGCTGCCGGACAGAAGTAACTGCGGCCTAGTTGGATGAAACTTTAGCTCATTAATGGCGTGCCCGTGACCAATGTAGTTTTTGCTGCACTGGTGCTTCACCGGGTTGAAAATGCGAATGACGCCGCGGTAACCAGCCGCGGCCAGGACAGGATCGCCGGTCACAGAGTCGTAGGACCAAGCGCATGTGTAGAAACTTTCATCGGTCTAACGAGGCAAATGATGTACATTTGTATGTAAGTAAAAGTGTATGATGAGTACTTACATCTGGGTCTGCGTAGACCTGCAGCAGTCGAATGCCTTCGCAGGACTCCTGGCCGGTGCTCCTCTCGCACTCATAAATGGAAACGCGATCCTTTCCAACGGTGGCGAACACCTGCGGCTGGCTTCTGTCCAGGTACGGATTGAACTGCACCCCAAAGATCTGGTGGTTGTGGTCCTCGCGGACATGGGAGCTGCAATGCATCCGGGTAATAATCTATGTGCATTATGCGGTGCATAGTAAAACGCACCTATATTTGTACAAAGGCTGAACCATTTTTGGCGCTTTAACCCGCCGACACAGGCGGTTCAATTTCCGTGTGTTCGGCGATTTGCTCCTGGTGGTGGTTGTAGTGGTGCTGAACAAACTGGCGGTGTCCTCCCGATCCACGGAATTGACTTCGTGCTCATCATCCGGCTCAACAACATTGCAGACACTCGAGGAATTATTGCTCAGCACTGCCTCAGGCGGCGATTGGTTAGTAAATTCGTCCACCTCCGTGGGTGGCTCTTCGCTAGGGGAAACTATTTCACAGGGACTCGTTTCTGTCATGTCTGGTTTACTCCGGCAAACTTTAAAGCTTCTTTTGTTTACAAATTGGTTTTCCACTAGAGTGACCGTTTACAAATACTACCATGTAAAACAGCGTTGCCATTCTGGCGCAAAACACCAAAACAACCCCGTTTAAATTACAATTGTAATGTATTTAAATCTAATTTACATAGTTATAGTTTGATTAATCTACTTCTTGGCGGCGAGCAGCTCGTCCAGGTGCGCCTCCACCTCCTTGTGTGCCTTAACACTATTTTCGGTGCGAGAGGCCGCCTCATGTACAAAAAAATTTCGCAGTAGTTCTGCTTTTGTTTGAACGAGTTGCGCCTGCGCCTGTTGCAATTTCAGTTCATTGGCCAATTGCGGTCCCAATTTCATTTCGGCGGTCTCCTTGAGAAGGGTGCACTTACGGGTGAGGAGCCCAACCAATTTCTCCACGGCGCTGCGATGCTCTTCCTCCAGGCGCAGGATCTCCTTTTGCTCGCAGCTTAGGTCCGCCTCCTGGCCGAGGGCATCCGGAAACTCCTCGCGTATCCTGTCGCACAATTCGGCAATGGGTTGCAGATTTGCACGTAACTGAGCGGATAATTTGGTGCGCAACATCTTGTGATCCGTATAATTCAAGGGCGGATAACTGCTGCCGCTCTGAAGGCCTTTTGGATTACTAAAGATTATTCAACGCTTTTGGGATAAAACTGGAGATCTCCTACCAAGCACTTGCTCCTGACCAGCTACCTCGGTTTCGCCCAGTCGCACATAGCTTCCAATGGAAACCGATTTGAGGGCCCTTTTGATTTCAGCACTCGGATTTGGCCCCACATCCAGGCGTCGCAGCTCGGCCAGCATTAGCTTAAGCTTGAGCACCCTCTTCAGCTCCGCATCGCGCGTCTCCAACAAATCTTTCGGTTCTCCGGGCAAAAGAGTGGCGGATGGATCATCCATTTAGGAGGCAAAATGCTTAAATTGACCCGAAAATTGATAGTTAAATTCGAATGGGCAAGCGCACATGGCTGCGATACGGCAACGCAACTGAGAAAAAGTGTGACCAATAGCCACTAACGATATAATATTCTCATAATGGTCACCCTAAAATCATTATTCAAAGCGTAGCGCTAGAAAAACGATCTTAGCTTAAAAATGTTGAATACCCAAATAATTATGGAACAGATGCGATACCATCCCATCGTGGCCACTATTAGCATAGGAGTCAGCACTGTCCTGGCATCCGAAGTAATATGGAAGGTGGTCCAGTACTTTCGGAGCAAACGAGAGCGCGCGAACCGCGTGCACGAAGTGGTCGTCTTCAATGAACTGGGCGAAATATGTGCGGCGCAGCACCTGCGGAGCACCAGGCCAGGATCCCAGGAGCCGAAGGTGTCCCACTGCTGGAACACGCATTGCACGCTGCGAAACGTGGGCAAGATTGCGGAGCAGATCGACCGGGCTGTGTACTCCATTGATCTGGCCATCTACACCTTCTCCTCGTTTCTTTTGGCGGACGCACTTAAGCGGGCCCTGCAGCGCGACGTGAGTATCCGAATCATCAGCGACGGTGAGATGGTCTACTCCAGTGGTTCTCAAACTACTGTGCTGGCGCGCTTGGGAGTTCCGGTCCGAGTGCCCATTACCACGTACATGATGCACAACAAGTTCTGCGTAATCGACGGTGTGGAGCGCGTTGAGGAAATCCGTCTGCTTAGGAAGCGCAAGTGGATGCGTCCGTGCTATAGCATCGTAGTCAGCGGCTCCGTCAACTGGACGCGTCAGGGCCTGGGAGGCAATTGGGAGAACTGCATTATCACCGCGGACGAGAAGCTTACAGCCATGTTTCAGGCGGAATTCAATCGGATGTGGAAGGCTTTTGAGAAGACCGGGGAGAGCCTAATACAGCACAAATAGAAATCAATAGTTTTAAAGTATGACAGCAACTTTGTGCCAAACTACCTGTAAGTTTCTCAATATACCAAATAGTTAGTTTTTATTTTGTAAGTGCCTCCTATTAAACTAATACTCTGTAAGGCAATTATGATCTTCACGCAAAAACGCAGTACCAAAATAAGTTGTTCTATTATCAGTATAATATTGTGAAATTTAACATCACATTGAATGTGTTGACTAATTTTGCAAAATGAAATGACTTCAAGGTGCATTTAGTTATGGATCAGATTAGACTATATTCATAAATCAATAAAAGTTAATGTATGATATATTCATACAAAAAATGTATGAATGCACAAAACATTTTCAATAATGGTATGACTGCCACATTTTATGAAAGACTTCATTACACTTAAATATCCCCTTAAGTAAATCGACTAAGCTATTTGTCCTGCTGTTTCAGTTTATCAGCGCGACGCGAGAACAACTCCTTTAAGCCGTTGAGTCGCTCGATTTCAGCCCGAATCTCCTGATATTCCAGATAGGATACTGCCGATTTAACCAATATATCCTGTTTTAGGGTGAGCACGCGGGAGACTTCCTTTTGCTTCCTATGCAAAGCGGTCAGTTTAAGCGAAACAGACGATTCCTTGGGCGCCTTGGACTTCTTGTCGTGCTTCGATTTCTTGGACTTCTATGGAGCTCAGGATGAAATGAGTTTTAGTTAGTAAATAATTTTGTTTACCTACTTTAATTTCCATTGCTTATGTCGAGAGCTCCGCGTGTTAGTTTGTTATTATGTGCGTGGTGAATGGCAAAAAATGGCAGGGGAAGAGTTGTGGCGGTAAAAACTGTAGCACTTAAAAACGTAAAAAATAATAAAAATTTTGTACATGAGAAATTCGAAATAATACATTTTATTTTGAAATGTTTCATGCCAAATTAATAATTACATTAGATTTTAATATTTTATACATTTTTCGGTGCTAATGTGCGCACATAACTGTAAATGACAGTCTGGAGAGTGGTATTCAATTTCACTCGGTATTTTAGGCACACTTGGTATATTTCCGCCTGCTGATTGCGGTCACACCGGCGTCGTTTACTTGTGAAATTTTCTGTATTTTGTTGAAAAAATAATATAAAGTATGGGTTCTTCGTCGTCTGGAAAGAAGCACAAGAAGGATAAGAAAAATCGCCATCGCTCGCGATCGTCGGAGCGTCAGCGGCGCGCAACAGAGGACGAGGATGTTACTCTGGACCTCACCGACGACTCCTCGTCGCGGCACAGACACCACAAGCACAAGAAGCACAAAGAGCATCGCCACAAGCACCACAAACAGAAGGAGCGGGAGCGTCCGAACGAGGTCATCTCGCTGGAGGAATCGGACTCGGATAGTAAGTGTTTGCCCGCTATTTCACACAAAGTGCAGGCCAGGCTCAAGGGCGATTGCCGTAGGCGGGGGATCCGACGGAAAAGCGATATTCTGATTGACGGACCACCCATTGCCCGGCAATTGTCTTGGTGCTGCACTTTTCCTTTTCCGAACGTACTAAACCCATCGTTGCGTTTCTCCACGTTTCTCCTTTTCTTGCAGGTGTCCCGCTGCTGGAGCAGATTGTGAGTGGGAAAGCGGATGTGGTTGAAACGTTTCGCCTGCTGTGATGATTAGACAGTTCTAACCGGTGTTCCCTATTTCCAGGTTCCGATTGCGTGGAGGTGCCGGTGCAGGCGCAGGAGCAGGCCAAGGTGAGGGACGCCAGAGAATCATCCAATCGTGACAAGGAGCGGGATTCTGGACGCGAGCGTGAACTCCTTAGAGAAAAGGAGCGAGAACGTGAGCGGGAACGTGAGCGGGATCGTGAGCGCGAACGGGATAGGGATCGGGAAAAGGAGCGCGAAAGGGAACGCGAGAAGGAGCGTCTTAGAGAGCGGGAGGAACGCGAAAGAGAGCGTGAGAAGGAACGTCTCAAAGAACGCGAGAAAGAACGCCTTAGGGAGCGTGAAAGGGAACGGGAACGAGAACGGGAGCTCACAGCTCCACCACCACCCCAAATCTCCAAGCATGCCGAATATGAGTCTAGGCGAGAGCGCGAGATCGAACGGGAGCGGGACGCCCGCAAGCGATCAGGCAGAGAACGTGAACGTGAACGCAATCGTGAACGCTCCCGATCCCAGTCGCCACCCTCGGCGTCGCGTAAGCCAGCCACCAGGGAACGCGAGCCCTCCTCTCGTTCCTTCTCGCCCATACCGGAAAACGGTGCCGGCGATGTCCTGTCCATTACGGAGACAAACAAGCTTCGCGCCAAGCTGGGTCTGAAACCACTCGAAGTTGATAGTGGTCCGAGTAAGGTAGGGCCTCCTGCTGGAAGCAGTAGTAAAGGGGAAAGCAAGAAACCGCCTGGCGAGGCCGATCTATCCTCGTACAAGGATGAGTGGGGCGAGTTCTTGCACAAGCCGGCCGACAACCTGAAGGAAAAAAAGGAAGCAGAGAAGCTGCGCGAGAAACTCAAACAGCGCAAGGAGAAGCGTTTCTTAGAGGAGCGCCTGGCTCGCATTAAGACACTGGGAGAGTCTGATGAGGAAACTGACAATGTGTCCAAGTGGGTGGACAAGAACAAGCGGGTCGTCAACGAACGCGAAGAGGCGAAGCGTAAGGTATGTAATTAGTATTCCACCTTTGAAGTTGTTGTAATAAACCTTTCCATTCCTAGGCCAAAGAGTTGGAGGAATTAGATGAGGCCTTTGGTGTTTCGGAGATGCTCGAGAAAGAGAAAACCAAAGCCCGTCAGCGAGCATATGGCGATAGCAATCTAAAGGGCCTGCGTGTGGATCATGATATGGATGATTTCGGCGAAGGGCGCACTGTTATTCTAACTCTTAAGGATCAAGATGTGCTCAACGAGGAGGAAGGCGACACTCTAGTCAATGTTAACATGGTCGACGAGGAGCGCTACAAGAAGAATGTGGCCAACAAGAAGCAGAATCCGCTCAGTTATGGTTATAACGTATACGAGGAGCAATATGATGAATTGGGCAATCCCATTGAGCGGTCGGTGCTGGAAAAGTACGATGATGAAATGGAGGGCCAGCCGAAAAAGCGCAAGAACTTTGTTATTGGTGAGAATATGGATGAGGAGCGAGAGCACAGGCGCAAGCTCCTGGAGATCAAGACGAAATTAGCCGGCAAGCGTTTGGAAACCTTGGAGGACACCAATCTGCAGCTGGCATCGGACACCTACAGTGCAGAAGAGTTGGCCAAGTATGTTTTAAATCGCACAATGAAGTATAGTTTTAATGCAAATACTTTTATTTATTTCCAGATTTAAGAAGCCAAAGAAGAAGGTTAAGAAACTTCGACAGAAACTAAAAGCCGAGGATCTTGAGCCTTTGGCGGAAGGCGGTACATCAGGTTCTTCAAACTTTGGTAGTCGAGGAGGACGTTATCGCGATCACGAGGATGTGGAAATGGAAGAGAGTAAACCTCAAGTTAAAATAGAAGTAGAGGATGATGATTTGGAACGCGTTCTTGCCAAGGCTCGCAAACTAAAACAAAAGGAGAATATCATCAAGAAGCCTTTGCCCGTTGACTTCGAAAGTATTCAGCGGGAGATAAAACCCGAACCTGTGGAGGACACCGCTTCAGGTGTGGTCCTTACCGGCGTCGATGGCAACATTGTATTGAACGCCACAGCTGAGTTTTGCCGCACTCTGGGCGACATACCCACGTACGGTATGGCGGGTAACCGTAATGAGGACTCCAACGACATGATGGACTTTGACAAGACCGAACAGCCGGAGGAGCACACGGAAACACATACCGATGAGCCTGCCCTAAGTCACGGCACCTGGAATTCGGTCAATCCCGATGAAATTATGCAACCCGCCGATTTGGATAATCTGGGTGAAGACCTGGAAGATCGTGCCATTCTAGACGAGGAACCCGACGTGGGAGCAGGTGTAGCGAATGCTTTGCGACTGGCGCTGTCTAAGGGATACCTTGAAAAGGAGGAAAAGAACAGACCTAGCAACACAAAAATGGCCCATCTGCAGGCCAAGAACTATTCCATTGAGGATAAAGCGGCTGGGTTAGTGGTTATACATCCTAAACAAGCCATCTTATGTTAATGTGATATCTTTTCAGTGAGGACGACAAGGTTGGCCGTCGTGATCGCTTCCACTTTGGACCGATTACTGACTTTAAGGACAAGGAGACCTTCAAGCCCAATGTCAAGTTGGATTATATCGATGACAACGGCCGCATATTGAACCTCAAAGAGGCTTTCCGGTACTTGTCACACAAGTTCCATGGCAAGGGACCGGGCAAGAACAAGATTGAGAAGCGTCTCAAGAAAATGGAGCAGGATGGGGTAAGTTTATCATTAATCAAAGATTATGGGTATAAATAAAGTGGTAAATTTGTTTCTTGCAGCTAATGAAAACCATGAGTTCGACAGATACACCCTTGGGAACTCTGACCATGTTGCAGCAGAAGCAGAAGGAGACGAAGACCGCTTACGTGGTGCTCAGTGGCAGCAACAAAAACGTGCCAGGTGTCAGTGGCTCCGCAATAGCCAAATTCAAGTAGAGAAGGGTGCAGGAAAGGCAAGCGATTTAATTACCAAGTATCCATAACCAAATGCAATAGACACTTCCTAATCCGCGTACTAAATACTTAAGTTTACTACTCCCACATATGTATCCGGCCCAAATATGTAATTCTCTTCATATTTATTCAAATACACTTTGGATTCATCTTAAAAGGCTGATCTCGATGGGAGGATCTTCATTCCGACGGGTCACTGAGAAGTAAAAAAAAATAGAACAGGTATGCAGCAGTGTCACAATGTGTACTTACAGTTAAAGGATCTGCCAAGAATTGTCCTCTTCGGGCCTTGAGCCATCTGAAAGCCCTTACCAATCCTGTCATAACACCCAATTTCAGAGGACCTGCTTTTGAATCTAAGGGTACACTTTGCTTTCCCGTATGGAATAGAGTTGATAAAGACTTCCTCAACATTTGGCGGCGTCAGAGATACACCCAAAATCATCAAAAACTGGTCGTCGCCAGTTCGCCCGAAATCCACGCCACCGTAGCCGAAGATCAGAGCTTGCAGGAAACCACCAATGCCGGTGAGGAAGTTCGCCGACCCATCGTAACCCATGGGGGTTTCACTCCACACCTTAAACTCGGGTCGAACGTAGCTCCTGTAGCCACGCTCGAAATACTCATTCGCCAGGGTAAGCTGGTAGTTTCGGATATAATTGGCTGCGAACATGGACCACGTCATTGCAGGACCTGATTCACGGGTCACGTTTGCGTAAAACCGAAGATCATTAATGTGTGCGGAGCTTTAGCAAGAAGGAGTGCGGTTATTAAATGGATACTTTCTATATCAGGCATCAACTCTAAGCCTCACCTTGTATCGAAGTTCAAAGGATATCCGAGTAGAATGGCGTCTGCCTGCTTGATAATAGTGTTCCGCACATAGCCCTCATACTCGGGATGATAGTTTAGGCCCTCATCGTGTAGAATCACCAAACCATCGCTGACTACGCGCCATTTTTCAGTGCGCTCGGTGCTGGCATTACCACAATGTTTGGCCAACCACTCGGCGAAATTCAGTGCTATTTTTGCCACCGCATTGGTGTACACATTATCGTTAACATTCGGATGATCCTCATCGGGCCCCATTACGTTCAGCAAGTGGCATGTGCTTGAGGAATCATCGCAGGTGGCCCGGCTCACCAGGAAATCGGCCACTTCAGCGGTTATGGGCCATGCCGTCTCACAGGTCCACTCGCTATCGTTTGATTGGGCGAAAAATCTCTGCAGGGCAAAGGATATATCGGGGGATATATGAATCTCCTGCTCGGCCACCTCGGGACAACAGGGATTGGTGACCTCTGCTCCAGTGTACGCACTCTCCCAGGGAAATCTTCAATGTTCAAGATGTGTTCAGCTAATTATCTGAATGGCATCCACTGAATGGCTCACCTAGCTCCCTTGTAACCAGTGGCATTGGCATGGTACTTAGCCGCCTCCAGCTTTCTGCTGCGATAGCCCAGCAGCTCCTTTGCATAATCCAAGCCGAATAGAGTGACTACGGGCAGCATCCAGATCTCCGTGTCCCAGAAGTTGTGCCCCTGGTAATCCGACTCCAGATCACCACGCCCCAAGCCAGTAGGACTTAGTCCAAAGAAGGGTTCGTTTTTCTGGTTGCTTTTGAGTGACGGAAGCGAACTTACGATATAGAATATACCAGCATTCACAATCTGCGACAGTTCCAGAGCATCACCCTTGATTTCAATGGAAAATTCATTGTCCCAAAAACTGTTCCACGCCTGGGTGTGATTCTGGAGAAGATTTCTGGAGCTCAGCTGAAGCACATCCTGCAGTTCCTTTCGTGCTACACTTTCATCTCTGTCTATGGTAAGGATAACTCTATGGCTCAATTGATCCTGCCAGGTGGGCCACTGCAGTTCGAGGGGTTGCTCCAAGGATTCACTGAATAGAACAAAGATCTCCTGAGGATCTGGTTGGAACTTCTCGTTCTCGACCACCTTTGTTCGTCCTCGCAGTGTGCGGTAATCCCCGCTGGATGAACTGCCATTGTTGACAACGACGAAGTCAAAAGCATCACTGGAGTTACCGGCGAACTGGGTGAGCCTCAGGTACTTCGGAGCTGCACATATGGACAATTGTAATTATTATAAAAAAATCATATAACTAAGCTTACAGTTAATCCTTGAGTTTCGGTTGGCAAGTCTATTAGCCACCACTTCATAGACCAGCGCACGATTGTAGAACTTGTGCGGATAGGTTCTCTGTTCCACGGAAATCCCTAGACTTCTGTACGTTGTGAGAACGCGGAAGCAGCCATCTCGGAGATCCATCTCGTAGCTGGTTCCATTTACCACATCGCTGCCAGTGGCACAACCGAAGCGATCACAAGCTTCCGTGCTGATATTCATCCAGTTGGGAATGCGAGCCCGCTTGCTGTTTCCGCCGGCTCCGTTGTAGACTCCGTTCATGAAGATCGCATCTCCGAAGACCGTGTATCCCACGTGGCCATTGCCCAGGGTGGGCATAAAATTCAGGTCCGAGGGCGGACTGCAGGGCAATGATAATTTATTATTATATATTATATTACGTTTAGGCAATTGTTTTTGACTGTATAAACTACATATTCTTGGTCTTAACTGCTCAAATATATGCAGATAACAGATAAAAGTGGTATTCCTCATAAAGTCATACTTATTTTGACAAGAGCTAACTAGTCACTTATTAATTTTACATACTAATATTATATTATATTGCTATAGTACCATTTTCCTTAGATTTTCAATATTACCTATGGGTTTTCAGAAGATACGATTCCGGCGTTTCCGCCCAGCAACTTTGCAGAAGCGCTATTAAACCGATAAAAGCAATACTCCTCAGCATGTTTTCGCGATCTACTTAGCAGGGAGTTCCTAACTATACTGAATTCGTTTCTTTCCTCAGCTGGTTGCAGTTTCCATGAATTCGATAAGAACGCTGATAATATATGTATTAGATTTAATCTTTGCGGGGTGGCATGAGCTGATTTCTACAATCGTCTGAATTGAAGTCACTTTTCCTATTAATGAGCACTATCGGTGCTTTCCCTACTCTTATCAGCTCATATATTGCAATCGAAATCCACTTAAATATGTGATTAATAAAATATTACAAAGGAATATTACCCATAGTAAAATGGGTGCAAAAAAAGGTACCTTGGGAACTAAACCTTCATTTACATTTTATAGTTTTATCCAAATTCTTCTAGTTCATTTCTACTTCAGCAATAAATAGTGTTTCTTACTGATAAGTTCAATAAACAATACATTAAACTTCTGTTGATGAACCCATTACGTTCAACTGCCTTATTAGCTGTGACTAAGAAATAGGAAAACTGATAGGAAAAGTGCTCATGAAATGCAGCAAATATAATATATTAAGAAGGTTGCCCTTCGGCATTGATCTGAATATCTTTTGCCGCAATTCCCATAATAGTGTTCCATGTCCAAAGGCAATTGGCATTCTTCCCAAGCACTTGACGATAATAAAAAACTAAAATACGGACAGAGCTGTACATTAAAGAACCTGCCTTTTTGTCGCATCGCACTTGGAGATCTGAATGGGTAGATTCAAGACCAGAAATCGACTTGGATGGGCATCCGAGATTATCAAGACGCAGATTAGACCTGACCCAAAGAGAAGCTGCGAGTGCTGAGAGGAGGACAATCATGGGAAATCTCATGTCTAATGCATAGGAAAAACTCAAACACCAAATGGGAATAAAAGTCATTAAAGATTGACTACTGTCAGGTGGCTAAGGTCTGAACTCGGTGGCTGCTGGGTGGCCCTAGACTACATTTTTTTCACCATCTTTTCTGTCTCGTTCTTTTTATGATATTTTCATAATTCCTGGTTACAAGGTAATTATGGTCTTTGTTGTCGACTCTAATTACCTGGGAGTCAACGTCTGCCCTTTCCCACATCGGAAGTGGGCTGTGCTCCCTTGCAGAGCTTTACATCTGGTTGGATGGATCCATATAGATCCGATGTGTTCAACGCCATCTTAGATATCTGACAACGAAGCGTAACCAGGCCAGGAACAGACTGCCTATAACCGATATGCGTTCGTGACTGGAACCCCATGTGATGGCTCTACCCCTAGGTGCATACGTGTACAGATATGTCTTCATTCGCACACTGGAAATAATTACGTTGCGCCTCGTATTTCAAAAACTTTTCTATAAGATCTTTTCTATTTGATCAACTATTTAGTGCTTAGTAGATATCCATTTTGTATACTTATACTTAGGTATCATATCATGCAAATTCTATTGATTTTGCTCCTCCAATGCACAATAACATTATTGGCTTATACGGCATGTCGGCATTTTTCTGAAGTGCACCCGTATCTGTGCCTTTATCTGAATCTTGCCGTGCTACAGTTCTCTCTCCGAAACTTGAAGTTCGGCTCAGCCGAGCTCGGCACTAATTTTAATGGCGTTACGCCGCGTAGGTTTTCTGCTCAAGATGCATAAAGAAATGCTCAGGTGTTCGTTCCCCAGCCAGTTGGCTCACTTGGCGGAGTCTTCCACGGCTGTGGTTTGGGTTGGCACGAGATCCCCATCGGCGAGTGTGTGGGGCTGCCCCCCAGTGATGTACCCCATTTCACTGTATCATCCCCCGCCACGTATGTATCTACATATATGTATCTACGTACGTACGTAGATACATACGAGTATGTGCATATGGTACTTTTCAAGAAGTCAAAGTCGCGGCTCTATCGCGATGTTGTCGCTTGCCGGAGCGTAACTGAAATACTGAAATATTAAAACAAATTTTTCCGCTTTTTTTTAGTTTAGTTTAGTTTTAGTTATGTTGTTGATTTCCTTTTGTTACTGTCGGCCATTTTGCTGGCGGTTTTGGTTTGGTTTGGCGTCAGATTTTTGTTTTCTTTCTTCTTGTTTTATTTGAAGTGTTATTTGTTGTTCTCCCGTAGTTTTTGCTTTTTTTTTTTTTTGCCAACCTGTTGGCCAAAGAGTCGAGTCGAGAATTTTACGCAACGAAGCGTTGCCAATGAGTTTCCGCTTTTGGAGGCATTGGGCTTAGTGGTCGCCATCCAATGGCTAAAATGCCATGCGATGCCCAAAAGTAGCAAAAACAATGTACAGTGTAGTTAGCCAACTCGATTTGGTTTATAAATGGGGCGATATATTGGAAAGGGCCTGGCTCGCAGATGAAAGTAATATTCCACATTATTTATGACATTAGGGTTATGAAGCACAAAAATATGTAGATAATAAAGAATAAAGTAAATAGAATAGATAATAATAAATAAATAATAGTAGAATAAAGTAATGGGCTGTTGGAATAAGACCCAAAGAGCAATTACCCAAATATCTTAAGACGGTATTTTAATTTATACAAGTATTTTAGTTAGATATTTAATTCTTTGCCCAAACTAACAGTGTAATAATTCTTTTGATGGGCATGCATACATTTTCCTGAGTTTTGAAAGGTATTAAACTATATATTTGTGAACTACCCGGCTAATTCTTCACACCGCTTTCTAATCGCAGCAGAATTACGAAATAATTTTGAACTTTTCAAATGTTTCTGCCCCCACCCCTCGCCAGCCCGCGGTGACCCAAACTATTGGTGGCTTTTTATATGTTTTTAGGGCCCAAATGTTTTTCTGCCTAATTTGTGAGCAGGTGGGATGGGGTGCTCCCCCCCACCTAAAAATGAAACGCGTGTGAAAATCATGTTTATTGTGCGGCCACCCAGCCATTGTGTTCCACACAAATACAATGTACAATGTGGCAAGCGGAGGGACACATTACTACAGGCAGCCAGCAATCATGTGCTTTCCCCTGGCATGGTTTTGTTTTTTGGTTTTCTTCTGGTTTTTGAGCCCAATTGTTTTTGTTGGGTTTTTGGGTGTTTTCCAACTGTGAGCCGGGAGCTGCCTAATTGTTGTAATTTGGCTAGATATTATATTTATTGTTTGCCAGATAATTATGATGATTATCTATGAAACGGAGTGTTTAAAACGTTTTCCACCGGCCTGGGAACCCGTGGCCCAAAAGACCTCGCAGCCAACAGCCAACAGCCAACCCCACCGAGCATTTGCAACTCAATTATGGACGAGCAGCGACTTCTGGCTCATCCTCACCAGCTGCTTCTGCCGCTTCTGGTGCTTCTGGTGCTTCATTATGCACCTGACCACTGCTGCAATTTCTAGCTGATAATTTGCATTATTTTGTGCGCCCAGGTGGCTGTTCCCCGCATCCGAGGTGGAGGTCCAACATCCATGGCTATGGCTGTGGGTTCTGCCTCATTCATGGATGATCTCACGCGTTGGGCACTCGATTTAATTACACTAAACAGAAGGGACATGTTCGGAATATGTTATAGATAACATTTGTGTGGTATAATAATAATAATAAAATGTTACAGCATTTGGTTGGTTTTGGGACCCACAAAAAACTAACTTTAGACAGATAGTTGAAGAACTGAACATGATATTATCATACTGTAAACTATAATTTTTTTATTTGAGATTGTATAATAAGATTTTATACTTAGATTATCAATCATAACTTAATGTTTTAATATTTTTTAGAAATATTAAAATTATTATTAATATTAATGTTAATATTTTTGAACAAAAAAAACGACTCTTTGTGCATATTTTGCAGCTGGGTGTTGCATTTTCGCTGGATGCGCCTGCCATGTGCAGTGTGTGTGACCTTTTCGCGGCTGCACTCCAATTCAATTACAAGCCGCCGGGGGAACAGAGAGAGACAGGTGGAGAAATGCGAGAGAGAGGGCACCATGGTGTGCGAAGATAATTATCAGCATGAGGCGCAGGTTTCGGGGATTGATATGTAAATGTTCAGTTGCTTCATTTGCAATGCGTAAGTCATCCACCAAAGTGGACAAAAATGCACAAAAAGCGAGAAGAGCTGCAAATGCAACTGCAACTTCAAATGGGTGCGACATGTGGTGACGCTTGGCTGGCCGCCTAATTAAGGCAGGTCAGGATCGTGGGAAAGGTCTCGCAGGGCATTCCTGTTGCCTGGAGGACACCACTGACCAAGTGGCGTATGCGCAATGCTCGCGAGAGTGGGGTTCGCCCCACCTCCCCAATTTTTGGCCCGCAGCGGGGTTGGTTAAACATTTGCCGTAATTTTACAGCTGCTGGTTGGTTTAATGCTTAGACAGCGGCCAACCGTAACCGCAGGCCAAAAACCTGAAGAATCCGAGGAAGAATATATATTTCTTGGCTCGCGCGCTCACTCAGCGTGATTAGGGTTTTGTGGAAAAACAGATTTCAATTATTACACCTGTTGCTGCTCGGTCACCGAACACCCCTCCCAAGATTTCCAACTTCTTGGCTTTATAACTCTGCCCGCTTTTTTCATTTCTTTTTTACATTTTCATAAGTTACTTGGAGCGTGCTTCCTGCTACGCAATGATGTACTCAGGAAAATCGTTCCTTAATGGATGAAAAATAATAAAAGACTTTATTGAACTACATATATAACTGTCAAAATAAATGTATTTTTAGATATATATCTTTTTACATAACTCATAGGTTCAGTTTTAGCACTCTGTCATCCCGAATTTAAAGCTGCTTTTTTGAGTGCAATGCACATCAGTGCTGCTCCGTGGCCTTTCGGAGATGGAGTGCCGATAGAGTGAGAGGAACTCCCCTAGATGGCCCCGCGATAGTCCATTCAGCTGGCCAGCCAGCCAGCAGCTTCCATTGATGAGGATCTGAGCTGGGGCCATCGGTTCATAAATATTTCTCGCTTCTTTCTCAGGTAATCACAGGCTCTCGAGTTACCAGTCGCCATTTAAGGTGTGATCGGGCTAGGATGGGGCATGAATCCACAGCCACATCGACATCCACATCGACATCTACTGCGACTTGGG